TAAAAATCCAAAAAAAATGTAGAGTTAGGTTAATTGATAGTTTTAATGTCTTTTTAATTTTTATTTCTCAATACCACTTATTTATTATTTTCTTAAATTAAAAATTGCATGTAAATTAACTTAGATATTAAATTAGGTTAAAAATTAATCCTTTCATAATAAATAAAAATACTAGAATTAGGGTTTGTCTATTAATTTAATTTCAATTAATTTCTTTTCCTTATTAAATCTAAAAAATACAAAAAATATCAAAAATACCATTTGTCATTTAATTTTAATTTTAATTTCCTTGATTAATTTTAATTATTTGCAAAAAAGGGTCCAACGCCCTAGTTTCGTTTCAATTATTTAATTTGCGCATTTATCTTATGTCGTTAATTATAATGTTGTAAATCTCCCAAAGCCATGTAAATTTAAACTTTTCGCGCTTTATTTTATCGCTTTATTTATCTTCAGTCAAATCGGGTCCGGTTTAATTTTGGCGATGTGGACCCGCGCCATTTGTAATAGTCTAGCTTTATTTCCTCGCAATTTATAACTGTTAAATATGCATGCAAGAATGAATGGACTTAAAATAAAATCAAGCGTAGATCACCACCAATGATATGACAAAAGACAAAAATATCTGAAAACGACACACAAATCGCACACACCACCCCTAGGGTACGCCTCACTGTTGCCTTTCGAAAGGTGATCGTCGAGTAGAGGACGTCTTAGTAAGTCCTCATGATCCGGGAACCTGGCATGAGGGTAGCTTCTAAGGTGTCTTCCTATTGCTCTGGTGATCACCATGTCCCTAAAACTCGAATTGACCCGAACACCTCCAACGGTGGTGCTACCTACCTCTCAATGGTGGGATGGCACTACTTTAAAGGACATTTACACAGACGAATTCCTTAGGGTAGGTAGGTTCTCAAGGATACTTGCTCTAATCTCAAAACAAACTCAAAAGACTTTTCACACTGACACTTTTTTCAAAAGCTTTCAAAGCAAACTTTTCAAACACTCTGACGTATGAGTCGATCTGAAATTTTTCAAAGAATCTTTTTTTAAACCCACATTGAAAAACAAACAAACAAATTTTGAAAACATATTGAGCAAGTATCTAAGAGCCCATGGATAACCATGGATAGAAAGGGTGCTAACACCTTCCCTTTCTATAACCTACCTCCCGAACCGAGAGCAATCTCTATAAGGAATTTTTCTGTGCTTTTGTCCTTTCCATTCGGAGAAAATAAAAGACGGTGGCGACTCTTGCTTCCGCGACATTTCGCGAACCAGCGTTAAACAGTCAGTTCCAGATCCACCGATCACAAGGAGGTTACTAGCTCTCACAATAAAGGCATCGAGCTTACGACGTAAAACAAGCACGTTTGTTTGTATTTGTTTATGTGCGTGGTGATTTGTGCTTTAACAAGTTGAAACAAGGAAATGTTCTGAATTTCAAATCTTCACTTTTCAACTTGTTAATTCATTTTCATCCGGTTTTCATATTGTTTTTTGTATTTGTTTTGTTATGTCAATTTGTGTTTTTCGAAAGCTTGTCGTGTTTAGCTTGAGGAGTTTTGTTCGTTGTATATATTTTAAATTTTGTATATTGAAATTTTGTAGGAGTATTATTTTTCTAATTCTTTTGTTGTTGTTTGCACTCAAGTTTTGGTCTGGTAACTTGTAGAATATTGAGGTGATTTGTCAAGTTTGATCGTTTCGACTTGTGAATGCGTTGTAATTATTTTGTTAAAGTTTTGTACACGTTTGAGGTATGTATTTATCGCTTTCTATACTTTAGCATATTCATGATACTTGTACTTTTTACAATTTTTATGCCATTCATTCTTTTGTATACTTGTTCATTTGTGAATCACTTTAGTTCTTACCCTTTTTGTGAGGTAGCTTTCCATTGTTCACATATGTTGAAGACCACAATTCTTGTTTTAACTGGATTTTATTATGCTTAATCTTTTGTTTGTGTTGATTATATGAAAGCTTGAACATGATCAAGGAATTTTTTATTTCATTTTGAGCACAACTACCTTGGCCAAATAAGTCAATTCACCTTGTGAGTGTGTGATCATTAGTAACCTCTTTGAGCTTTTTGTCAATATACATGTTGTATTTGATAAATGTTTGTCTATGAGTGTTTATGTAATACGGTGGGAGAAGTGACTTGGGTGTTTTGTGTTTTATCATAATTGTTGCGGATAGAAAGAGTCGCCACCGACTTTTATTTTATCCAATAAGGAAAGGGTGAAAATAACAGGAAAGACCTTTGAGATATTTTCTTGAGATCGGGGGGTAGGTTATGAAAATGGAAGGTGTTAGCGCCCTTTTCATTCGTAGTTATTTGCGGGCTCTTAGTTGCTTGATCACTTTGAAATGCTTAATTTGAAATGTGTTTATGATTGGTGCAAGTTTGAAAATATTTTGAAAACACCTTTGTTTCGGCAAACTTTGTAATGATTATCGTCTCTATAAGAATGTATACAAAGTGTTGGTTTTTGAAAATAGTTTAAAGAGATGTTTGTTTTTTTGGATATGTTTTGAAAGTGTAAGTGTGGAAATGATTTTAGTTTGTGAGCAAGCAACTACGAACGTCCTACCTACTTAAAAGGTCTTTGTTCTTTTCCTCCTCCTTTATATGTTGCTATCTTACCATTGATTTGGTAAGAAGCCCCATCATTGGATGTGAAGGGAGAGACGCGGGTCAATCGTACAGTCATAGAAGGCAACTTGTGAAACATTTTGGAAATTTTGTAAGGGGCTAGATCGTTTACCAAAGGAAACATCGAGGGACTATGATCTTTTTTATCGAAGGGTCTTTTCTAAAGCGTCTGTAACACGGTGGGAGAACTGACTTGGGTGTTTTGCGTTTGATCGCATTTGTTGCGGATAGCAAGAGTCGCCACCAAATTTTCTTTTATCCAATAAGGAAAGGTTGAAAAGAACAGGAAAGACCTTTCGAGATTATTTCTTGAGTTTGGGGGGTAGGTTATGAAAAGGGAAGGTATTAGCACACTTTCCATCTGTATGGCCAGGTTAGTTCTTAAAGCATGTTTAATAAAATAAGAAGCAAAACTAAAATGGTTATCTATGGAAACAAATTAAAAAGGTGGAAACGAAAAGGAAAACAAATGTTATGTACATGCTTCAAACGAAGGGAATAATTATTCACATTTTATGTTAGAAACGAAAAGTTTAAGGTTTAGAGCAACTTACCTTGCTTGAGGCTGGAGCGTGTGTGCTAGACCTTAAGTGGCTTCCTAGATACTTCTGGATTCGAAGGGAGGGAACGAAGGTGACGTTATAATGTTGGATTCGAAGGAGAAGAACAAGTTTGATGTTCTTTCTATTGGATTCGAAGGGAAAAAAGGTGTGGGGATGTTTCAGATTCGAAAGAGACAAGTGTTTAAATCATGGATTTGTGTTTGAAAATGTGTTTAAGTGTTTGAGAGTTTGATGGTTTTTCTCCACGTCCCCAGAGTCTTTAGATGTGTGTCTAGCCCCTATGCATGTTATAGAGCCTCTTATTTATAGGCAAAGCTGGCTGAAGTTTTGGAGGGAAAATAAAACAATTTGAACAATTTGAGTAAACTGCTTTTGTAGCCTTTCGAGGGGCAGTATTCGTATGCCATTTTGGTGCAAGAATAGGGCAATGTTCCAGGACTGCTGTGCAGCAGTTTTGGAGCGTTATGGCCAGTGTACCAGGCCTGAACTTGGCATCAAGCATCTTTTAAATATTTCATCCTTTCATTTTGATCCCCCTTCGACCAGATTCTACTTCCAACAATGTTATTTGATTTTCACCCAACAAGTATCTTTCGAATGGGTCACTTTTGTGCATCCTTCGAAGGAGCCAAATGTGTACCCCTTGGATGGGTCACCAAAGTATACCTTAAGGTGGGATTTGTAAGTCCTTCGAATGGGCCATCAAACGTGTCCTTCGAATGGCACACCCAGACATGTCCTTTGAAGGGGTCATGTATGTATCTTTGAAAGGACCAAATGTGTCCTTCGAATGGACTAGTAAGGTATATCCTTCGACAGGGACTCCTATGTATGCCCTTCAAATCCACCAGCCATGTGTGCTGAAGGTTGTTAAGGGTGGAATTAAAGCATACTAAAGGGAAATGTGTCCAGTCGAAGCTAGTGTAAACATAGCCAATACCTTGTCGAAGCCTGTTGTAATACCCCAAATTTGTCTTACCCCTTTTACTTATATCTGGCTTATGCATCTCGCATTTTTCTCAGGTATATAACTTCCATTAGATCATCTAACAACATCATTCATTCATTAATCAATAAAACATGGCATGTGATCGAAGATGTTGAGGAATTGAGGTTATTGTACGACTTTAAGGTTCTCATCTTCATTCAAGGAATCAACTGGTTTCATCATCAATCATGGTTTATGTAGCTAGGGTTTTAGTGTTCAGGGTCACTGAGAGTTGTATTCTCCTCAAGCTACGAAGATCATCAAGTTCTCCATCGAGGGGTTGTGACTTGTTAGTGCAAGGTATTTATCAATACTTCAAATAAAGACTTTGCAAGCTAGGGCTTGGGCCTTCTTAGAATCTCAAATTCATCTCAAGGAAGCTTAGGGTTTTGTGATCACCATCATTATTCATATGCTTCTAATTTCTCCTATCTACGAGGTTTTCCTCAAGACATTTTCTTGAGATCATTAGTCATCAAAATGAGGTGCCTTTGCAAAGTGAATTGCAAGATTTAAATCATGGTACAAAGGTGATGTTGTGAATGCGTAATATGATCAAGGAATTATTATTATTTGTTGCTTCAATTAAAAGAGGTGGAGTTAAGATGGAAATTAAGAGTTTTTGCAAGGAGGCGAGATTGATTTGGTTTGGATCTTATGGATTCGTTATTTAGGATCACTTGAAGTGCTACCAAATGTCATAGACTAAATTTGTTTGAAGTTTGCAAAATAAGAAATGCATTGAATTTCTGGAAGAACAAGTGAAATTATAAAACATTAACAAAGTATGGTCATGATATTAATCTAGATTCAAGTTGAATTTAACATGGTTGTAGTCAAACAAGGTTTATTCAAAAGTCACCGTATTCAAAACTATTACCATTACAACACATCCATCCTGTTACAAATGTTACAAAAGATTTCAATTTCTATTCCATTTGAGCCAAAGATCCTAGAATACCTAATCTTTACCCAACTTTGTCTTTCATCTTTTGTCCTTGCATCATCATCAATTTTGTAATATTTACCTTCTCCATGATTTAGCTTCCATCTTCATGATCCAAACTCCCTTGCAAAGTCTAATTAATTATTGCCTACATTGCAAAATCCACGACATCAAGAACAAACATATACCAAACACCAATATCTATGTATCAATTCATAAACCAAAGCTCATACATTCGCATACTTTTAATACAAACAAGATTTATATCACATAGCTAATTACATACACTTATATTACAAATTAGATCCAAAAGCACTCAAAAATCATTCAAATAGAAAAAACAGCCCTGCAACATTGCATCATCCAAACCAATAATCATAATAATCATTTTCTCTCTCTGAAAAAACAAAACCTGTTCTCATTTCTCTCTCTACATATCCCTAGTTCTTCCCTCTCTTTACATATCTTTTTTTAATCTTTCTTGTCACAAAAACAGTTTCTTCAAGAGAAAGAGTGTGACCCTTTAACCAAAGCTTTTATCTTTAGTTCTATTAGAGTTTGTTATGTTTGAAAGAAATGGAAACACCGTGCATTTCTTGTTATTCATCCTGAAAGTTTATTACTTTCTTGTTTTGTTTATCTCTTAAAGGATTTTTGGTTCTTTGGAGTTTTGTTATCACTACTAGTGAGTGTAGTTTGAAATTCTGTGAAGAATGTTGGCCATTGGAGGTCCTATTACTAGTATCCATACAAGCACTACTTGCACTTCTTTGCTCAGGGAATTTGAGCAGATATGGAACGATATTGGAGGGACAGAGAAGGATAAAGATCGAATGTTGATGGAGCTAGAGAGAGGATGTTTAGATGTTTATAGGAGAAACATTGACGAGGTTGCCAACACAAAAGCACGTTTTCATCAATCTGTTGCGGCCAAGGAAGCCGAGAATTCTACGCTAATGGCTGCACTTGGTGAACATGACATTCACCCTCCGATTAAGTCCGATAAAAGATCGGCGTCCTTGAAGGAGAAACTCGCATCTGTAACACCATTGGTTGAAGAATTGAAGAAGAAGAAAAGAGGAAAGGTTGAAACAATTTGCAGATATTAAAACTCATAAAGACTTTGAAGTTTGACTTTGTTTAAAAGCATACCATTCAGGGAAGGCCGAAAAGTTGGAGTGAATTTAGATTGAAATCTTAGAAGTTTCTAATTGGATTGAAGAAATGGAGGTATATAGAAATTCTATGGTTTCAGCTCCTTCAAATTTTATTTATCTGTCAAGAATTTTGGGTCATGATGGTCCGAGTTTTATTCACAAATGCGACTGGAAATGCCAGAACGAACGCGTTTGCGGAAACATGTTTCGCTGCAGGCTCACAGGGCTGACACACATATGTGGTAAAAAACTGTAACCAGACAATTTTGTATGATAACCATAGCTCCCCTTGCCTAGCAAGTCGTCAGATTTTTCCCCTGACTCCAACCGAAGAATAAGCTGTGAGAGGCGTACGAAGGAAGCTTGACGCTGCAGAAAAAAGCTAGCAGGACTTCACAATATCTCTAACAAACTTCTAGCCAACAGAACAAATAATAGAAAACTAAAAAAAGGAAAAAAAAACAGATTTCAACCAATCTTCTAACAGCTCAGACCATCTCCTAGCTGTAACTAAATCCCAATCCAACTTCCAGCAAAAAAAACAAAAACAGATTTCAATAACCTGTCTTCTAACCACTATAACTAACAACTTCATAACAAACTCCCAACAGAATATTCTGTAACTAACTCCCTCTAACCATAACCCCTAACGGCCTCTAACCGATCTTCTAACTATCAAAACAGAGTAACTCCCTCTCTCCCTCTCTGAAACCGCAAAACAGAATAACCAAACTCCAGTTAACTCTCAGACCATAACTAACCACAACAGAATCAATAACACTTTAACTAAATCTGCCAGCTCATTCTAACCGACACCATAACATAATTACAAATCTCCTAACAACCTCTAACTACTTCAAACGAGATTCCCTAACAAATTGAAAGAAAGGGAGGAAGAAAGGATACAATGGTTCAAAAAAAGGCAGAAAATCAGAATCAGAAAAAACTCACCAATTCAGGGATTCTTCTCTCTTCTTTCTCCCTGAACTTCTCTGACTTTCATCTTGTTCTTCAACCTCTCTCAAGCATCTGCAACAAACAACAGCATCTTCATATTCAATTATTCTCCATTCTCTTGGAAGAATCACCACACAAAAACTCCATAAAACTCTCATCTTTCTCTCTTCATCTTCATCATCACAGTTCTTCAGCCTCAACACATAGCTTCTTTCACACTCTCCATCCACCAATTTGAAGCTTCAAACTTCACCAACCTGATAACGGTTCTTCTCACTGCAACATTTTCATCATAGCAACTACCTCTTTAAGTCTTCATCATCTTCTATGATTTCTTCATGACTCTTCAAGCCTCATCGCTATGATTTCCTGCAACGGACATCATTTTCATCGCAACTTCAAAGAATGCATCAAGAATCTGCAACCGGGAATTGATTCAACAATTATCGCCATCTTCATTGCATTCTTCAACAACTTCTATCTACTTATGCATATCTCTCACTACTGCAACATCAATCTGAACTTCATCTCATTACATAATCACTTCTTCATTCATCGTCAAAACGCATCTTTGCTACTACGCGAAAGCTGCAACAACAACGTCAACATCAATAGGCGTCGCGCATCATAGAATTTTAGAAGAAGAAGCGAATCAGCGGAAGAAGACTGAGTGCATACCTGAGAGTTTCAATAATCTCATCGTTCTCATTTTCGTGAAGATAAGCCAGACGGTTCTTCCGGTAGGTAAGCGTTTACCGTTTCTGCATTTCTGTATATAAACTTGTGGACTACTTGTTGTTTCCTTCGTTTGGATCATTGGTGCGTTGAGATTGAGTTCAAATCTGAATACGAGAGGTCGAAGTGGAGTTTGAGCGGCAGAGAGATCGGGATGCTGAATTTATGGCGAAATGGAGTGGAGAGAAGGTTACGGCCGCCATTGATGACAGCCGCGAGAAGAAGGAGATCTCATGATCAATCAACAACTCCTCAACCCTATCTTGTTCAAACGACACCGTATATTTTTCCTTTTAATTTTTTTTTTGTATTTTATTATTTTTGGAACAAAATACTGAAAATCTGGTGGACCTTGTTGCTATTGGACCGATCCATCCTTTGTCATTGGCCCAAGGGGCATTTTTGGTTAGATATTTGGTCTGTGAACAAAAATTCCAGACCTTACTATTGTTGGACCTAATGCCTTTACTATAATACGCCCCTGGACCTAGGCAGTGTACCCCCTGATCTCCATATTCTTCTTCTTAGATTTAAGGTTTTTTCTCTTAATTTTTCTATGTTTTGTCATAACAAAAATATAGTAAAAACATAAATAAAAAATAGTGGAATAATATAATGGTTCTTTTAAGAATTAATTCTTTAGTTTTTTTAGAATTCTCTTTACATAAAAAATTAATAAAAATTACTTTTTCTATTTTAGTTTTTATCCGCATTTTCGTGCCGCTTTGCCATGTTATATTGTGACGCGTTTGTTCATTGTGCAAGGTACATTTTTATGCTTTCGGTCATGTAACATAACAGGTATTTATGTGATCGAAGCATAGAACTTGTGCGCTTTTGATGCGACACGCCTTATTTCTCATCATCCTGAGAAATTCATATCGTATTATATGTTGTCCTGATACATGCGATACTTTATGATGTCTTGTGCAGGAACTTCTGATTACGCGTTGAATTTGCAACATGTATTTGCTTTTATCTTTGTTGGATATTATTTCTGAATTTGTTTGTTTCTTGCTGAAGCTTGCTCGACGTGTACTCCCTGCTTTTCCATTTCTTTCATCTGCTCTTAACGATTTGCTCGCTTTGGTAGTCGCCGCTACTACCTTCGTACTTCTTCGCACTTTACTAATTTCATTTACCGCTTTTCTAGATATCATGAGAAGTAGGATTTTATGGCTTTCTATATACCATGAGAAGTAGGAAATAAAGAGCGTGTGCTCGAAGTAGCTGTTTAAATACCTGTAGCAGGAATTCTGCACTTCATTTTCTATATGTGTTATACTTGTGTTTGTTCTTTGGTTGTTGATCTATGAGTCACTCAATTTAGGAATAGAGATCATGACTTCGCTCTCAGTGCATGCTCCCTATAGGATTTTATCGCTTTCCTTTATTTCTTGTTGATCGATGAGTCACTCAATTTAGGAATTGAAATCACGACTTCGCTCTCAGTGCATGCTCCCTATAGGATTTTATCACTTTCTTTATTTCTTGTTGATCGATGAGTCAGTCAATTTAGAAATTGAGATCACGACTTCGCTTTCATTGTATGTTCCCTATAGGATAGTTTTGTTAGACTTTATTTGGCATGCTAACTTAGATAGGATCTCTCTAGGTGTGCTCTCTTGAGCTTATTAGCTTGTTTTCTTTATCCTTGTACATACCATGTTCCCTTAGGACATGCTTGCTCCCTTCGGATGCAAGTTAGACCTTAGGTTGCAAGCCATGCATGCTAATATTAGGTATATGTTTCCCTTTTGTTAATCCAAACATTAGGACTACCATTGTATGATAACATTAGGTTAGAAATAGGATAGTCTCCCTTAGACTCTTTTCTTCCCCTTTTGCATCCTTGCATCCAAACCTAAAACCTTTTTTTAGCAAATCAAAAACATGTTAATCATACCTAAACCCTTTTTCAAGGTAACAAAATACAAACCAACTCAAACCTTTTTGTGGGCTCGAGCACCTTTTCTCTAAAACCCTTTTCAGGTAAGGACATGATTAATTTACTTTTGTGCCAACGCATAAGTCTCCAAAGGTCGAGCTGCGGCAGAAGGCGGAATTAACATTGTTTATAAAAAACACAAACGAACAAAACATGTGAGTCGAACTATGGTAGCTTTGATTCCTCAAAAAGGATACGTAGGCATTGGGGTAGGGCCCAAGCGAGTACAATTTTATTTTCCCTACATTCTTTTCTCATTTCTTTTGCGTGCATTCTCCCTTCAGTAGTATAGTAAACAGTAAGCATGGAATAAACACACCCATAAGATAGACAACAAGAGTGGATACCGTAGAGTACTACGGGCGTGTGGGGTGCTAATACCTTTCCCTCGCGTAACAGAATCCCTTACCCGATCTCTCGGTCGCAAGACCGTGATTTCTGCCTCCTCAGGTTTTCTCAATGTTTACCTTTCCCTTCATGTGGGATAAAAGACATTTTATGGCGACTTCATTGTTTGATGATCTTCAGTCGGTTGTTTCACCTGCATGCAAGAGGTCTAAACTATGTGACTCTAAGCAAGCACACAAGAGACTAATGCTCAAACGAAGAATTGCATGAAGGGAGTCACATGCCCAAAAGAAAGAGGCATGCTAGGCTGGCAAAAATGCCAAAACGAAAGAGCCATGCAAGAGGCAAAAATATGCAATCGAAGGATGCCAAAAGGAGTCTTTTTTGCCTTGGAATCGAGGGAGGCTATATGAGGCTCTTGCATTGTGTCTGTTGGCCTGGTGGGCGCCTCTTGCATGCAAGAAAGGAGTTGTGGCTCAATCGAAAGCTACACATAGCCAGTCATCACCTTGTAAATTAAAGCAAGCCTGGAGGCATATAGGCGGTCATTGTATTGTGAACCATGTGAGGCCAGAGATACAATCGAAGATGGCATGTTGGAAACTTCTGCCTTGTAAATCAAAGTCAGCGTGTCAGAGGCCAGCACCCAGTCGAAATATGTAAGCCAAGCTTGCATCGAAAGAGGCCAAAAGGCCAATCGAAGAAGCTAAATCAAAAAAGACTTGTTTTTCTCCAATTTTATCAAAAAGATTATTTTTATTTGTTTTCCCCCTTTTTAACAGTTTCTTTTTTAACTTGATACTGGAAAATCCAATTGTAATTGTGCAAGCTTGAATCTTGAGAATCCTTGTGAGAAATGCTTTAAGAAATGAGAGGGAAAATTTTGGGGCACAACAGCTTCCCCTGTTTAATCTTCTTAAACCTGAAGAGTCAGATTGGCAAATCTGCCATTTGTGACTTGAAGGTGGAAGATGATTGAACACTAGAGTTCCCAGAAATTTGCACTCGATGATATGGTGGTTGATTGTGTAGGGAATGGGATTAAGATGCCATTTGGAGAGATGATTGAGAGTTGTCTGAGATGGGATTATAGATGCCATCCAAAGGTGATTGTTAGCAGAAATTAGACTAAGTCTAAATTTGACTTCAACTAGAAAAGAATCAGAACAAATCTTTGGAGCGATTTATCTGAACCAGAGAAAGTGTCTACCGGAAAGGAATCAGGATAAACCTTTGATTAATTTAAATTGAACCAGCAGAGACCTTGAATATTCTATAACTGGAAAGAATCAGAATAAATCTTGGAGCGATTTATCTGAACCAGAAAAAGCGTCTACCGGAAAGGAATCAGGATAAACCATTTATCGATTTAAACTGAACCAGCTGATATCTGAAGGAAGTGTTTGTCATGTAGATGGTCACCCTGTCTTGTTTCGGGAGTTGATCTACAATTAATTTGTTCACAGATATTTATCCTGTCTGGTTTCAGGTATTAAGCTTGATGGTGATAGATGATGAAGGAATACTGGACGATTACTACCTCAGTAGATGATGAAGGAACCTCGGGCGATTACTACCTCAGTAGATAATGAAGGAACCTTGGACGATTACTACCTCAAAGGATGATGAAGGAATCTGAGATGATTACTACCTCAACGGATGAGTTGTAGGAAATGTCATCCCCTTCAAAATGAGCATTGGATGAGATTTTTCTGATGAACCATGAAAAAGTTATGCCTTGGTCAAGTTACAGTTGACTTTTCAACTGTCCAAAAATAGAAACTTTTGCATCTTTGATGATTTTTGAGCCATTCTTGTGGAATCATGATAAAGACTTGATAAAATGATGATTGTGGCCTCAAAATAAGATGTTGACCAAAATTTATGACTTTTGACTGTAAAATGACCATTTTACCCCTACAGTTGATTGTGGAGCAACTAGGGCTTTTGACTGTGCAATTTGATGTTGTGAGTCTTGAAACTTGGCATGTAGATGCTTGACAATGTGTATAGGCCTATGGAACTTGATTGGGCCATTGAAAACCTCAAATTCCTTGAGAGAACCAAAACCCTAATTTTGATTGTGTTAGGAGGCAATTGGACTGTGCAACCCTTGAGGAATCTTGAAGAATATGGGAGGGCAAATTTTGGGGTACAACAGTTGCTCCTGTTCAATATTATTAGACCTGAGGATGTAGATAGTCTTGCATGCCTTTCGTGATCCGAAGGTGGAAGATGATTGAACACTAAAGTGCCCAGAAATTTGCACTCGCATAGTAGAGTATCAGCGATGTGATGTCGGGAATGGGCTTACAGATTCCATTTGGAGATATGATGGATAGGAGGATGGGCTTATAGATGCCATCTGGAGATGTGACAGAATCTTGTCGGGAATGGGCTTATAGATGCCATTTGGAAATGTAATGGATAGTTGTGGAGATGGGCTTATAGATGCCATCTGAAGGTGTCGATCGCGTAAGAGATTCCTTAGCGAGAACTTGCGTACTTGAGAAAGAAAGATAATTTCCTGGCCTGTTACAAGGGTTGATCTTCAAACTCC